GAGGCGAGGACAAATCTTCCAATGGGGACCCCCTCAGGGGGGTAGGGGGGGGACGTGAGGGGGGTTTCCCCACTCGTGTTGGGAAGTTTCCTCTTCCAGTTGCATCTCCGGGACAGGAAGTGGAAATCTCCCCGACGGGAAACACAACCCGACGGGTGTTAACCCTTCACTACCCAAAACGACAGACACCCTTCAACCATTGGCTGGGGGTCCTGTGATCCGACCCCCGAGAATCGATAGGCGTCGCAGACGATGGACCCCTCAGTCTTGCACCGGCTTCCCTCCTGGACTGAAATGGCTTCCTCTGCACACTGCGAGCTGCTCACGATGTGCATTAGAAGCTGCGGCAAGTCAGATAGAGCCCGCCTCATTTCCTGGCTGGAGGACACCCAGCATCATCTAGCACTCACCTCCCCAGCCTGGCTGTCCCTGGCCACGCCCCCTTGCATTTATTGGATCCCAGTTCTGTCAATCGTGGCGGCTCAGCAGCACACATGGGCGTTACCTAAGCTGGTCTGTATGGAAATGCTGCCTGTCTGGCACCGCCCACTCCTCCAGACTGAGACACCCGCCCATGAAGGCATTGGGATGTTTGCATAACTCCTCCCACTGCTTGCATCAGGGCTGAGGGCTCTTTAGAGGAGTAGTGAGGCCCCTCCCACCAGCCATGATCTGCCTGCATTGCAGAGAAGCACAGAGACCCGGTGATGACATCACTGGGCATACAATAAGATATGTAATGAGAGGATTTTATTGATTGACAAAATATTGATTGGAACAAGCTACACGCATGTAGTATGTATTCGCAGTCCATCTCCCATGACGTTGGAGGCTTTTTCTGTGCCTTTTAAAAATGTCCCCCCAACTTCCTGTCCTCGTGGCAACAGATTCACCAGACAGGAAGCGAGTTAAAAATCTGCAAAGAGGACACAGAGAGAAATAAATATCCCCCCGGGGCTCTAACCTTCCCCATGCTCCAGTACAGAAAAGCATTATGAATTCTGTCTGTGGTGCTGTCGGAGAGTCCCCCCTCCCCCCATCCCGACCCCCCACGACTCCCTATCCTGGTGACAACGGTAACCCTAGACAGGAAGCGAGATAAAATTCTCCGACAGCAACATGGAGAAAAAAAAACCAAACTTTTTTTTTTTGTCTGTTGTCACCAAAACAGGAAGTGAAGGGAAATCTCCCTAACAGGGTCCCAGATAGCAGCAAAAACTCAACAGAGGTTCTAATCCTTCACCATTCCAACCCAAGGCAGAAATAGTTGGACGTGTCGCCCCCTTGACGCCGTCCCCGTGTGACGCCCCCCCC